TGTTTAAAATTCAGATGACCTAAAATTAATGCTACCCCTTCACCTTTGTGCTTTTTTTCATCTCAGCTGAAAAATATGATTCTTCTCAATTTAATCAGCATTTTATAATGACTTCTACTGAAAATACAACCTGTTGTTTTTTCCTTGATAGCCTGTTAAATGTATAGGGAACAGTGGATTAATTTGTTGGACTAAGAACTTACTGAAAATGTAGCAGCCACCAAAAGCATACTTTGGTCTGAATAGGGGAACATGCCCTCTCTATTTAATGAAATTTGCATTTTTATGGCTCTTCAACTAGGTTTTTACAAACCCCTAAAGGACTGCAGCACCAGTATAAATTTTCTGACCATCATTCTGTAGAACAAAGATTTACCTTAGTTTATGAGGCAACTGTATAATTATTGGCCATAGCATTGCCTTGCTGTTTCATGATCCTGATTGAAATTTCCCCCCAAAAATTGTCATTTTGGTGAGAAGACACCACCCTTGGCTGCTCTCTTGCCTCAAAGATACCAAGTAACAACCACTGAAAATGTGTTGCTTTTGTGCTAGTTGCGTGTTTGCTAGAAATACAATGGAGAGCAGATAGGTACCGCTTATCTGTGTGTCAGGGACATGGAGTTCTCCACACAGCTGATCTCTGCTAAATACTGAAGCCTTGGGGTGCAGAGCTTCACATCCTGTAGATAATTCCCTGTTTTCCTTGTTCCCAAGGGCATGATGAGAAACAGGTTTTTATGGTCAATTGAAAGCCTTAGATACCAAGCGACAATAACTTTCTACAAAATCCTTGTTTATGCTTGTATCTGCTTACACTTCATCTAATTTCGATAGAAGAAGAAAAAAAATCCCCCTCAGACTGGTTCTTTTCCCTAAGCTTCACTTTTCAGCTAATGGTGGAAGATGGAGAGGAGATCCTCAGCCCGTACTTCAACCCTCGAATTACTTCTTCATCAGTAAATTTTTTTCTCAGATGAAGAACTGTTTCCTCATTGAAATTACTGCCTTTATCACAGTTCTGCTAAGCTTACTGCTTTTCAGCAGCTCACAGACAAAATATATAAACAGCATAGGAAGCCTGAATTTTAGTATTTGTTCATGTCTCCCTTGAGACATCTTCCTTTAATTTGATGCTATCTGACTGTGAAAAGATGGTTTTGCAGTTCTTCAGCAGTGATGGTGGGCAAACAGGCAAACATTTTTGCTAACTGTCCATCCTTGTGAGGAGTATAGAGAGAAAACAACTTTCAAACCCAGGTTAAAACTTCCTTCAAGTTTGACAAGAGGATTCAGAAGGCCCAAAGCAAGAAGCCCTTTACTTTTCTATATTTTAATTCCTGCTGTTGAGATGGAGCTTTACTCTGTGGATGCCAACTTTGGTGTTTGTGTGTCATTCATAGTTCCCAAGGGGAAGCTCAAAGGGTGGCTGCATCCAGATGGGCCTGCCAAGTAATCCTGGCTGCTCAGCAGGGTGCCACCTTCTGTGAAGTGACAAGGACCTAAAGAGATGAAGAGGGAAAGCAGCGTGAGTCCATCCCAGGAGGTGAAGATGCAAGTACTTTTCTCTGTATAAATTGTCCTTGAAGGGAAAGTGCAGGTAAAGCTGCACCATGAAACAGATGTTCAGGTGGTGGTGTCAGATGAGCACTGCTCTTTTTAAGGTCAGCTTTAGCTCTTGACACTGCCCAAAGGTGCATGTAGCTGTCAGTTGTTTCTTTTGAAAATTTGTTCTGCTTTAATAAATTGGAGAAATTCCTTGTTCTAGCAAAGTCCAGAAATAACAGATGGTTCGTATATCAGGCATCAGCAAATACTAAAGTTGCGGGCATGACCCCTGTCCATGTCCTGTTGAAAAATCTACCTGTCTGCAGGACTAGATTGCCCAAGAGTTTAGTGTTTTCTGCAAGAAGACCAATAGTGTAAGTTCCACCTGCTTCTCACATACTGTTGTTAGATTTAAAAGCTGTCTTCCACAGGATTTACTGTGGTTACTGGTGTTCCTTGATGTGTTTTGGAGAGCATTAATGCTGAGAAGTTCTAACTTCCTGAATGTTGAATGAATGAGGCTGGGCAAAGCTGAACTGTGTTTTCATCGTCCAAGCTCGTGGAAGTGCTGTTACTGATTTTGGGTGACAACAGAATTAAGGGCATATGACTTGAGGTTGATATCTTGTCAGATTGCTATGAACCCCTCCTTCGGGTTAGCATGGAACATGACACCGGATTTCAACGGAAAGTAAACAGGCCCTGCAGGTATTGGGATAAATTGTTGTGGTCAAAAACAAATCAGGGTTTTTTTGTTGGTTTTCTTTTTAAGTGTCTGCAGCACTGTAGATCACGACCTCTTTGATGTTTATCAGCATGAAACTGCACGTAGCAATAGTATTCTCACCAGTTTTCATTAAGGTTTCATGCTCCTCCAGCATTTCTAAAGAGAACGTTCAGGCTTTACAGCTGAATATGAGAGCAGTAATACTCGAGAAAGAACAGCCTCTAAAATGTGACAGACATCAAATGGGGATTATACCTTGTGTTTATATAGCATCTTCTAACCTGGAGTGTTCCTTGAGAGTTAGGGAACTTATTGAACTCTTCCATTCACCACTGCTTCTTCATCATGAGTCACTCTAGCTGGTTATCAGTGCTTAGCCCTGCTGCACAGTAATCAGAGAGGGGAGAGCTGAGGAAGCCTTCCAGACTTTCTAGCCAAGTAGGGTAACTATGAAATATGCTGACAAAGCAGACTGGAGGCAAGGTAGACTAACAGAGTTAATGCTATTGCGTGGTGCTGACGGCTGAGAATTTTATATTGCTTGTGGAGCTGTTGGCAGTGCTTCTTTCAATATACATTTTTCTCACGTAATCCCATGCTGTGACATGCTTGATGTATCATCTCAATAATGTGGAAAAACTGGGGAAATTCAGTGAAATGGCTATATTTCGGTACGGTGTCTATCAAGGGAAGGATGTCAGTCAGTCACAAGCTGGAAAAAGCAAGCAATGTCTTGTCGTGATGTGAGACTGAAATTCTCAATGTCCCTGTGTGCAGACCTGCGCCTCCATTTTCGGGAGCTTCACTCCCTTGAACAGTCACGTATTTAACCTGTGATGGGCACAAGTGTAAATCATGCGGAGAACCCTTTCCCTGCATTCCAGCAGCAAAGAAGAGCTGAGGTGAAACAATAACAGAAACTTCAGTTACTGCCTGAGGAGATCTGCTGTACCAATGAAACAATTAAAATGGTGCCATAACCGTACATACACCTACAAGGAATGAGTTTAGGAGATTGCTGTGGCTATGAAGAAAGATTTAAAACTGATTGTTTAAATGTTTGGATTACTAGGTCTGCTGATGCACTAGTTCATGAGATGACCACTCTTCTGCAACTGAATCAAATCACTTTCTGCTTAGTAAAGATCTCAGAGACGTCCCATTGAACTGGTTAGTCATCTGAAAAGAAAAATTTCATATTGTAGCAGTAATAGTGATTTGAAGTCATACTGATTGCAAGTGGAGATAACAAAACTTTTTTGAGGTAAATCAGCATCTGAATGAGGGCAGCTGGTATCTTTTCTCATCATATGTTATTCTTATTATGCTTTGCATCACTGTTATCAAAACCATCATATTTAGCTAGCCTAAGTGAAGAGATTAAGAATTGAATTTGTAAGTAAGGCTGTTTTCAGTTTTGTGGTGCTCTCACCTTGGCATAGTCAGAGCTGTGGGAGAAGACAGCAATGGTAGCATTGGTTTGCATCTATTCAGTGACTGGTAGCATCTGTTTGATGATTAGCTAAAGGATTTCAGTTGTCAGAGCTGTCAATCTGACACTTTTGATGAGCACTAAAATAAATCTCTGCTACCAGGAACTGTTCATTTTTCCCCATGCTTTTGATTTACTTGACTCTTTGTGTCCTTGCTGATAACTACTAGCAAGGCTAATACATTATAAACTCTGAAAAGTGAAGAAAGCAGCTGTCATTTTTTGCACAACAGATGTTCCTGATCAGGACTCAGACAAAGGACCTCATCACTCCTCCTCTGAGCAATTTAATTTGCCTGTTCCGTGATGCACCAGCCACCTCCTTCATTTCAGGATCAGTTCCTTTAATCTTACAGAATTATTAAGTTTTTTTCTGTGCCAGGGCAAAGAGAGTGGAAAAAAGGAAATTGCTTCATTCTTATGGTGTCACCAATGATGCATCATAATGAAAAGTAGCAAAGGCCTACTTCAAAAATAGGAAACCCAAGTACCACATTTTAAGAGAACTAGAAAGTACTCTATGAGCACTTTTTCTAAGAATTAACGATCTAGATTTGATGGTGTTTCTTTAGCAATTTTAAGTCTCAGAGGTAGGGAAAAGCAGTATATAATCCATCAGATTCCTGTGATGCAACTTAGGGGGATGAAAAAAATTGATGTATTTTTTAAGAAAAGTTGCTGCTGTGGATCCTGCTCTCCACTCCTTAATCATGCAAGTCGTCCAAAATGAGTAATTACTGGGGGCTTTGCTTGCTTTTCCATTTAGTTTGGTAAAACTGTACCACTCTGCTGCTCTTTTGTAGTGATGGATGGGTACTGCTGGGGATGTAAATTTGTAGTTATTCTGTAGCTTATTTCCCAGTTATTACTCTAGCACATTACAGTCACTTTGCCTATGCACAGCTCCTGACTTGCCACCAGATTGATCCAGCATGTACCCGAGGTGGGGCAATTGTTTGCTCTCCCTGCAAAGGAAGCTGCTCACTGTGCCCCATGTTCCTTCCAGCATCTGCCAAGGGCTTGCTGGAAGGGAGAGGCGAGGGCAGTTGGCCTTCCCTTGTGTTGGTGGCCAGCCCTGCACAGAAATGGCAGCTGCTGCTGACAATGCAAACAGTGGTGTCTGTGGCCATAGTCACAGCTGTCCGTCCTGATAAACGGGAAAAGCGTGTTTGAAATGCTCCTGGTCGTCCATCACTGAGAAACCACTCATATGACCCCTTTTTGATTTGGCAGGTTGACAGGACAGAAGTGATTCGGACCTGTATAAATCCCGTCTTCTCCAAGCTGTTCACAGTGGACTTCTATTTTGAAGAAGTGCAGCGACTGCGGTTTGAAGTGCATGACATCAGCAGCAACCACAATGGGCTGAAGGAAGCGGATTTTCTTGGTGGCATGGAGTGCACTCTTGGACAAGTAGGTGCCATTTTCCTCCCTCGACCCTCTTCTTTTGTATGTAAATGAAATATATTGCTTTGATAAATGACCAATGGGTGAGGTTTGTCATTCATGACAAAATTCTTAATCGGTGCTTTGAACAGGATAATTAAGAACTTCTGCTGGTTTGATTTGCTGCTGTAGTACAGCTTCAAGTGAGCCAGTGCTTACAGGAAACAGAGCGTCAGTGATTGGCCTTGGACAGTAAAAACCCGTGCTCATTAGGCCAGTGTTGGAAAATAGACTGATCTGGGAGAAAGTTACTGTTCCTAACATTATATGGGATTTAAAGCAAGTTCCAAGTCCAAGGAACACTTAAAAATACCATTTATTCACATAGGGTAGTGCCTGGTCATGTGGCAAATAGAGAAATAGAGTTGGATTCATTTCCTTGACTCTCAGTCATCCTGAAGTTAGGTGTCTAGACTAAGTTACTCTTCTGATTTCCATCTTTAGTTCAGTGGAGAGAAACAGACAGTTCCAAGAGTTGATTCATTCTACCTGAGACAGCCATCACAGATTAAGATAAATTGTCTTCAGGAGATATCTGTCTTTCCTCATCAGTTGTCAGTGGAGTCTAGACAGATGGTTTAGGATAGACACCTAACTTTTTAGATTACTAAGTTTAAAGGTGATGAGTCTTACCCACAGTATTGATATCTAGAGGTCATCAGAGCCAGGTCTGTAGTGAGTTCCCCTACTGCTGACTGGTAGCACACTACAGTCCCAGGTATCACAGTTTATTTCTAACTGGTAGAGTTTTTGTCATGCAGTGTTTCATAACACAGATTTCTGCTTTGTCCATGATCTTAATGCCAGGGACGGTCTCAGTTTCACTGAACTGAGTGTAAATTTGCTCTCCATGCTGGGGTAGCTTGTGTGATGAGAGTGGGCAGTGCTTTTGTTTAGATTATGCTTTGCAGTTCTTCCACAGAAGTTTGCATTCTGAACACAGTAGCTTGTCATGGAAGATGCTGCCAAGCTTTTGTTTTCTTACCTCTTGTTGTTCCCACCTCAGCCCCACCACACATGAATCACTTTGATTTTTTTTCACAGAGCTATTGGGCAAATGCTGAATGAGGAAAAGCTCTCTCAGTGAGAGAAATAGTATGAAATATATGCATTTAGTAAATTGAAAGCTGAATCTGAAGATGTTGGTCTTTAGGGTATTTACAGTGCTCTATAAAGTCTGTTCCTTTTGACAGAATTCTTGTGTCTTAATGAAAATAAGCTATCTTATAACACCAAAGAGAATGGGAAACAAAGAAAAATGTTATTATAATGTTCTTCTTTCTTAATTGGCTTGAAAATGAAGGGAGGGAAAAATGTCATTGCTACTGTCTGTAGCATAAATGTCTTTATAATGATTTGATCTCTATAAATAGCACACAGCTGGGTTGGTTGCAGTGTAATTTTAATGGTAACCAAGGAAAAATAATAACAGTGTGAATTCTATTCACAGTAATGTAGCCTAGAGGACTCTGATCTCATATTTAGACCTTTTTTGTGGTGTTCCTTCACCCCCTTTTCTAGTTTATTACCTTTATATGATTTCTTGGCTGATTTAAAAATAGTAGCACTGGAATCGTCCTCCAAGTAAAGCCTTTAAGAGGAGTCCAGCATTGAAAATCCTACAGCATAGTCTATACATACAGAGCTTACACTCTTGCTTAGCTGTTTGGTGTAATTAGGGCATTTTTTTTTTTAATATGATAGTAGAACCATGGCTTCTCTTGAGATAAATTTGACGTGAATTTGTTTTTCTACATCACTTCAATGCCTGAATAAAACAAGGATTTTATGTCAAAGTGTGTGCCTGCCTCTAAATTCACTTTCCCAGTGCAAGTAGGTCTTATCTGAGACATCGAGGAAGGCTGTCAATTTTTGGGCATAATCTGAAAGACTGACTCCCCTCCCACCTCTCCATAAAAGTGCCAACTTCTATGCTCTCTTCTAGGTAACAGTTAATCTATAAGAGATTCACTGCTACCTGTACCTGTTTATAGATCATCACTTAGATGTAAAGTAAACCTGCATGTTTGCCCAAATCATATAATACTCTTACCTAAACCGAAATTAGTAGGAATAATAAATGCTGGGAAAGGCAATAGTGTAGTTGTATGGTAAGCTGACAGAGAGGAGTGAGTTTTCTTTCTTCTGATCTAAATCTTACATGTAGCCTACCAGATGGATACAAGTGTGTTGGAAATTTGGGGTCTTGGATGCAAACAATGAAGAAATGCATTCATTTGGAAGGTGTCAGTAATCTCCTCCCAAATACTCAAATAAATCTGTGTTCCAAGAGAGTGATAGCAGCGGTGACTTGTAGGCTGTTAGACCCTGAACCATACACAGTCTGGTGACATCTCACTGGATGATCCCACAGCAAGATTTAGTTCTACTGCTCTTGCCAGGACAAGTCAATTCTGTGCCTCTGCTCGTAAATGCTGTGGTTAACAGCATCCTGGCATGCAGTTAGTTCTACCTGGGTGTGAAGGGTAAATGCCTGTGCCACAGCATTTAAACACAGCAGAACAAATGATTGTGGATAGACACCTGCTGGGTATAATTAGGAAAATGTCAGTGTCCTAAATAGAGGCACTTCCCTTGAAGGGATTTGTCTTATCTATCATGCTCAAAAGTTGCCTTTTCAAATAGAACAATAGCAGATTATCTCTTAAAAGGTTTGACAGGAGGGCATTTGGTGTGAGGTGTTTTGGGGGAACTTTTTTTGCGTGTGTACTAAAAGTCTGTTCCTTCCACTCAGAAAGCCACTCTCTGCATTCCAGTTTTCCAGCTTCTTGAATTTCCTGCTAATGTGCAGATTGGCAGAATGTTAACAAATGTGTCCTGTATAGTTGGAATGACAACCCGATCAAAAAGCCCTAAAATATTACAGACAGTAGTAAAGATGAAAGTGCAAACAAATTTTCCTGAGTTAGTAGCATAATCTTAAAATAATGGTCTGCAATTATATGTAGTTTATAAAATGGAGTCTCTTAAGAAACTTGACATCAAGAAATGTACCATACTCCAAGGGATTAAAATTGCATTATTTAGTACAGTAAGGGCTCAAATTTTCCAATAGCCAAAGTTAACTACTTAACCACATGGCAATGAAGTATCAGGAGGGTGGCTTAGGAAGGCTTTTTCCTCTGAAGTTTCACCCTGAAGTTTTAATCTATTCTTTAAGAACTCACAAAAATTTTTTCAATGAATAAACATTTTCTGATGAGAACTAAACAAACTGATGTTGCCAAGGCATTCTGGATTACTTCTCAGCTGTGCCTCCAATGTCATTAAATTATGGGAACCAGTGAAGTTGTTATTTCTTAAATGCTGTGAACCACCCCAGCTCTGTGGACTGGGTTATTCTCTGTGACATATTCTGTGGGAATTGCCTTTGTGGCTTTTCTTTCAGTACTTACTATGGCTGGTCTTTGCCATTTTCGAATTTGGGATTCTATTCCTTGTTTAGTTTCTTTTAATTTACAGAAGTGTTAAAATGTTGTTACTCTCTTACTTGCTCAGCTAGTACCAGAAGAAAACTGCAGAGCTGTAAATCTTTTCCTGTCAAGAACCTTCTCAAGTATTATTTTGAGATTTAATATTACCCATACGCACACTTGTGTACAAATTAGATTGGAAATCTTCCTTCTCAGTAATGAGTATAATTGTTTCTTGTGTGCTTTGGATAATATATGCCATTAGCAGATTATGCACTTGAAAATGCTGACTGATTATTAGTTCAGTTTCAGCCACTGCAAATCTCCTTGCTCTTGAATTAGAGAAAGGCTAAAAGATCCATGATTGCACCTGAATTAATTAAACTGAAGTAGTCTGTAGGAGAATATTTGTTTAATAGACTGTCAACTGCTTCTGTGCAAAAGACATAGGACCAGTTTTTTCGAAGTATTTGAATTCCTAAATCTCATTAGTTGTCTGTATGCCTCCTTAGGCATCTAGATACCTTTAAATACTTGGCCTTTGATCTCCTCCAAATGAAGTTGCTCTATTCATTAGCGGGATGAATAGTGTACTTTATTAGATGTGAATGTCATTTTCTACCAGGGCTGACTCAGAGCACAAGCAAATCATGAATGCAGCACTCTCCCTAACTTTACCAAACCCTTTCAACACCTCAGTTATCC